CAGCGCGGCAGCCATGTAAATGTAAATGAAGCCGCGATCATTTAAATCGCGGCTTCATTTACCTTTGCTGAATAAACAAATCTACATGCCTCTGCCGACAGAGGCATGTAGTGTAGACGTACCCTAAGTGTCCACTTCTTCTTGATCACCTGGGCATCTATGCTGGCTTTCACTCACACACACCCTCCACTCACACCACACAATTGTACAGAGTTTCAGACAAGATCAATAGTTACTAGGGGTACAATTTAATTTGCAATACCTAACAGGGAGCAAGGCCTTGCAGTAACAGCATCTAATCATGAGAGAGACAGAAATAGAAGTTACAGAACTTATAAGCAAGTCATTATACATCACACTTATAGGCTGTGTCTAGACTGGCAAGTTTTTCCGCAATGCGGAAAAACTTGCCAGCTGTCTACACTGGCCACTTGAATTTCTGCAAGAACACTGACGATCTCATGTAAGAAATCAGTGCTTCTTGCGGAAATACTATGCTGCTCCCGTTCGGGCAAAAGTCCTTTTGCGCCAAAGGGCCAGTGTAGACAGCTCAGATTTGTTTTCCGCAAAAAAGCCCTGATCGCGAAAATGACGATCGGGGCTTTTTTGCACAAAAGCGCGTCTAGATTGGCACTTTTCTGCAAAAAATGCTTCTGCAGAAAAGCGTCCGTGCCAATCTAGACGCTCTTTTCCGCAAATGCTTTTAACAGAAAACTTTTCCGTTAAAAGCATTTGCGGAAAATCATGCCATTCTAGACGCAGCCTATATAGTCTTATAACCAATACTAACTACAATATACATTTTTGCTACAGGCTCTGGAGGTAGATACCTTGGTCAGTGAGAACCGGGAGGGGTGGGATGTTGCTGGGGACTGGAGAGGGTGCTGTGGGTGTCGGGAGGCATGGGGCTGGAAGAACAGAGCGCTGGTTTGGAGGGGTGAAGGAGTCAGTTGTTGGGGACAGGAGGGTGAGTGGGGGTTGGTTTAGGGGCTGGGGGTGGCATAGAAGGAATGTAGAAAGGGGGTAGCAATGGGGTGGGTGGTGGGTGAGGGCAGGGGGTTAAGTGGGAAGATGGAGGGACAGATTGAAGTGGTGTGTGGGTGAGGACGGAGGTTGGGTGGACTGGGTGGGTCTGGCATGGGAGTGATTTAGGAAGGGAGTAGCAGTGGGGTGGAGGTTGGGTGCGGGGCGAGCTCATGGGCTGTGTGGGGTGGGGTAAAGGTCTGATCAGCTGGCCTCTCTCCCCCGCCAGGGGACGTGACCCTGGACCCCGACACGGCCCACCCCAACCTGGTGCTGTCCGAGGACCGCAAGAGCGTGAAGTTCGTGGACACACGGCTGCGGGACCTGCCCGACACCCCCCGGCGCTTCACTGTCTACCCCTGCGTCCTGGCGACCGAGGGCTTCACCTCAGGCCGCCACTACTGGGGGGTGGCGGGTCTGCAAGGACTCGGTGAGCCGCAAGGGTGAGCTGATGGCCCTGCCCGAGACGGGCTATTGGCGGGTACGACTGTGGAACGGCGACAAGTACGCGGCCACCACCACCCCCTTCACCCCACTGCACCTCCCCGTCAAGCCCAAGCGGGTGGGCGTCTTCCTGGACTACGAGGCCGGGCGGGTGTCCTTCTACAACGTGACCGACCGCTCCCACATCTACACCTTCACGGACACGTTCACCGAGAAGATCTGGCCCCTCTTCTACCCGGGCATCCGCGCCGGGCGCAAAAACGCCGCCCCGCTCGTCATCCGCACCCCCACGGACTGGGAGTGAAGGGGCCGGAGGCCGCTCGCGCCAGCCTCCTGGAGCCAGGCCGGAGGCTGGGATCTGGTGTCTGCTGCCCGCCCGCATGCTCGATGGGCGAGGTAGCGCTTCCTGCCCTCCTGTGTATTGGCCTGGGCGGGGGCAGAAATGGATTGCAGGAGGCCCCTCCCTGCAGACTGGAGGGGAAGGGACCTTGCTGGTCGTGCTTTGATCTGGTCCTGCCCCACACGCTGCAGCCAGCTGTGAAGGAACGCCCTTCCGTCTGCCCCACCGCTGTCCAGCCAGACATCCTGGCTAGGAAGTGACGGAGGCACTGCTTTGCCCCCCGCGGGGACCTCACAGCTCCCTGACACCACTGCCTTTCCAGACTGGAGGGGACTTCCCCAACCACCCCTTTAGCGCCCCCTAATGGGGCCCCAGTGCAGTCCTGAAGGACATCACAGGGACCCTTAGGTTCCTTCCAAGGGCAGAGGCTACCCACTTCTGGGTGTGGGGGGGTCCTGGCTACTGTCGTGGCCTAGTACATTTCTTCCCCCTCGATCAAACCCATGGGGATCTCTTCTGAGTGTGTTGATGCTAACATGTAACCACGGACTGCGGGAGGAGAGGAGGGTCCAGTTAGAATTGGGGGAGACAGGCCATGAAGGACTATGGGGGTGTTGGCCACCAGCTCTGAGGGGCTTTGGTCTCGGCTCCCTCCATGAAATGGCCCTGTCTCTCCTCCACCCAGAATGGGCTCACTTGGTTGGCCGGGTTTTTAGTCCCTGAGTTATTTTGATCCTGAGCTCCGCTTGCACTTCCCCCCGGTTTATTTGGGGCTGCGTTGTATCCATCCCGCTGCCGGGAGAACCCGTCACGTTTGGGCTGTCCAAGGCGCGTCCTTGGAAGAGGCAGCAGGCTCAAGCGAGTGATGGGGGGAGAATCTTTGGCGAATCGTACGACCCGAATTTACTTCCCCTCTGGAGGCACAGAACTCCTGGGTTCTTCGAGCAGTGTCCCGTGGGTGCTCCACTATAGGTGTCGGGCTTGTCCCGGCGCCGCAGATCGGAGAATTTTCGTAGCCGTAGTTCGCCGGACTGCGCATGCGCGAAGCGCGGCTCGTGCTCTTTCGCGCCGTTTGTGTTCGCGCGGTCCGGCTCCCGCCCGTTCCTCCTGACCGTCCTCCGCCGACTCTGTCAGGCTGAGAGAGAGAAAGAACCTTTAGGATTTACTTAGATTACTTCATAGTTAGTTCTTTGCAGTTATTTAGTGACATTAGTATTAGTCGTAGAAATTTTATTTCTTCAGAAGTTACCTGTAAATAGTTTCATACTGTAAATAGTTTCTTCTTTACTCCTGTCAGAAGAAGACAGAGGTGACCATGCCGGGTTCTCCGGGGTTTAAAAAGTGCAGCCTCCAACGGTCACGCTCTCTGCATCCGCTGTTTAGGTGAGGGGCACATACCCCAGAAGTGCCCTCACTGCTCCAAACTTACCGCGAGAGCGAGGAAGGACAGGGACATGAGGCTCACAATGCTCTTCTTCAATAGGGCATTACAGCCACAAGAGGGAGCGAATCCCGAATCCCTCCCTACTCCTTCAGCTGAGCCGTCCCCAAAGAAGCCGAAGGAAAGACCATCGCCTTCTCGTTCCCTTCCCCCGACGCGTGTTAACGTGGGGGACAAACCTGGGACCTCGGGCGTGCATGGCTCTAAGGCGAAGCCCAGCCGCAGTACCTCGGCGCTGCAGCCCGCAACTATTCGGGCGCCTAAGTCATCGTTGGCACCGAAACCGTTCCTGGCACCGACATCACATGCGGCACCGAGAACACCCGCCGCACCGCCCACAGCTGCGGCACCGACGCAGGCCCGGCACTGAGTAACTCGCCGGCGCCGAGCGACTCTTCGGTGCGGGAACTCACTCCGGCTCGGGAGTCTATTCTCCCACAATGTTCCCCAGCACCGCGTCGCCCCCTGGCACCATCAGATGCTCGGGCACCGCGCCCTTCGCCGGCACTGAGTAACTCGCCGGCGCCGAGCGACTCTTCGGTGCGGGAACTCACTCCGGCTCGGGAGTCTATTCTCCCACAATGTTCCCTGCCTCCTGACATGTCACTGCCGGCACCAATGGAAGGAGATGTGCAGTCTGCACGACCTTCTGCAGGACGAACCGCTTTATCCATGCACTGAACATCGAGAAGAATCATTACACCTTCTCCCTCACCGGATAACATCCAATTTTCACCTGAACCGCCTTCTCCTTCATCAGGACTCTCTCCTCAATCTATCAGGCACGCGCAAAGGGTTTACCATTCCCCACGTGTCTCGCCAAGACGCCGTTATCACCGGTCACCTCCACCTACCCCGAGATCCAGAGAATGATCTCGATCTCCCAGGTCTCCATCATGCTCCAGGCGCTATGGGTATTATACCTCTCACAGATCCTGTTACTATTCTAGATCTCCACACCGCTCCTCATATTATCATAGGTCACCGGAACATCGTTATTATAGCGGTGTCCTACTCTCCTCATCGTTCACACACACCACCCAACAGGAAGTGTCAGTCTTTACCAGCAACAGCCAGACCACCAACTCCATCAAGTATCCCGCCGCCCCAACCACCTGAGCCTCAGGTACTCCTACAACATACCACTGAGGATGAGTCTCAACATCAATCTGCTACCGACCAATCCTCTTCCTCGCCTGATGATGCTGTTTTTCAGGAAGACCTTCGTCAGTTTCAAGACCTTTTCAGAAGAGTGGCGGTATCACAAAAAGTACAGCTTGCGGAAGTTCAGCAGAAATCTCACCACTTGCTTAGAAACCTTCATCCTTCGTAGCAGGTGAAGGTGGCTCTCCCATTGGACGATGCCATCCTGGAGATTGTTGATCACATATGGCAGGTGCCCGCGT